GTATACGTAGATGTGCATTTTCGTATTTTACACGAAAACACATAGCCCTGAGATAATAATCTTCGTATACTCTAAACAATATTAAATCTTATAGGATATGAGAATACTATAAGAAAATTATTTTATTTATGTGAAAAAATTACATATCACTTTTATATTATATTTAAAGAAAATAATTACGTGATGAGAAAAAATGTTTTATCTACACTCAAAATGTGATAAATCAAAGATTTACCGATTCTGACAAATCTGTGTCGTAAACTGAATATCGAGATTTCATTTCGGTGATTCAGAGTGGACTAATTGCTTTATCACACGTGTTTGACCTGTCACGCGAGAAAGTTTCGGCGCGGCCGGTTTTATACCGCTCCGCAAAACGAGCACTTTTTATGTGTCGTCAGTGACAAGGTCGACCATGCCGGTAGGAGAAAGTGTCCTGCAAAGCTGCGTACATTTCCGTCTGCATGAATAAATTGAGACACGCGATGCAACGTTGACAGCTCAATCCTGCAAAAACGGCTTGTTTCAGAAAGGACGAAGTTAATCTTCGTTAATATCCTTCTGTGACAATATGTTAATTGACAAAATGTTTTTGAGGTTTGAACAATATTGAACGTTTTTAGTCTTAAAAAGTAAAAGTAAGTAAACCTACGAAATATGTCATGTTATTTTATTTATTAGTTCACTGTTTCGTATAATTATTATATGTGTATGATATACGAATTTTATTTCTGCCAACTCTTGTCTATTTATCTATAAACTTGTTGTTCGTATATCTCTTTTAAAATTTACAATATTTAGAACTTAGAACTATTCGAATAAGTATTTATTAAAATTTAATTGTTTTTCAGTATAAAGATCAATTTTTTAGAACACTTAAGTTTAACCGATAAAAACGACTAGAATTGAAAGGGTTATGGAAAGTGACGAGGTAAACTGTGATTGTGCACTACCTTTCTATTCATATGTAGATTTTAGTTCGAAGAGCTTTTGTATGAAATTAGTTTTTCTCTTTTTGCAAGTTGAACTACTAGTTTGCACTGCTCCATTTGAGCGTAACGAGTACGCCGTTTGAATATAGATAAAATTAGCGAGAAGTCGAAGAAATCAATATCATCGTATTTCCTTGAGTCACTTGTTAATGTAACAACTTTGTTGAAACTCTGTCGAACTCTTGTTATGAACAACTAGTATTTACTAACATTATTTATTTTACAATATGCTTTCAACCTTTAGCCTTTTATTTTTATGTATTATCAGAAAAGCTCAAATGCTTATCATTATAAAGTTTTAGTTTGTGTTTTCTTGTTGATAATATAAATTACGTAAAATTTGCTTAAATGTATTTATATTACATTATTATGATACAAACATATGTAAACAATTTTTTCGTTATATTATCAATTACCCCAAAAATTCTAAGTACTAATCCTATTTTGACGATGATTTTGTGTTTAGAAAAAATCTTCAAGATATACTCTATATAGCATTTTAAAAAGGAAAAGTACTTTTTTTGTTTAATTTTAGATTTTTTGTATACTTTTTGTGTGTAATTGTATAGGAAGTCTACAATTCAAACTTGATGAAAGTAAGTCATATGATCATAAATTAAAAATTACTTGAAAGCTGTTGAATTGTATGTTTAGATAGATTGTAGACTTTAGATACTGTAGATTTTATTCAAAAGTGCTTTATTTTTTGTTTTACCGTAAAAATGTGTTTGAAATTAATCGAAAACGTTATTTCTTGCTAATTTTACCCCAATTTTTACTTAAAATCCTGACGTACTACACAAATTCTACTGTATAATTATGCTATGACATCCTGTTTAGCACGAAAAAATTTTTGGAATATGTGCTATGACATTTCGAAGAAAATTTAGTGTTATTAACGTTATTGGCGAGTTTTTATTATATCTATCTATTGTATTATATGATAATGTTTTAGTTCAAAATACTGGAGGAAAATGAGAATGAAACCAAAAAATCAATTATGTGCTTTCTTTTTTTTTTATTTATCTAATTAGATTTCGTGCTGATTTCGTCAACTGACGTCTATCGATTACGGAAACGAAGTGTACATTATTTCGCCGACATTGTGATCAGCCGATGCGAAATATTAAACGCGTCCGCGCAAACAGGTTTAGATGGTAAGAGGTGTCCGCTTTCTGGCAATTCTAAAAAAAAAAGTCGACAAACGCGATGATGCTCCGATTTGGAAATGTTGATGGTGATGGAATTTGACGTTCCAATCATGATGGACTCACAATGGGAATACGCGGATTACGAGCCGAGCAACATTCACATCTATGAGAAAGAATTTCATGATTATGTTGTGTACTATGTGGCGCAAGGAGATTCACGACTCTTCTCAGGCAGTTCGCAGCACTCAAGTACAGGTACATATTCGGAACATGTGGGAAAAATACATTTAACGTACGCGCGCGCGTATAACGAGAAATACATTTAAAAATAAGTACAAGGTATTGTCTGCGAATTATGCGTCTCCCGTGTATGTCCGCGCAAAGTAAAAGCACCATCAACTTTGCCTCTTTAGGTATAAAATAAATATTACTGTTTTGAAAGAGTAGCTCTTCAATAATGTTTACTTGAATTTCTTTCAATTTCCAAATGTGGAAATTGTTTTATTTTCATTTTGTTGTAGCAAGTTTGAGAGAAATTATTTGCTCTGTTTGCTTGAAACGTGAGCGAATAATATCTACTTTGTGAATCACTCGCTACTTTTTTTGCAACGCTGCAAATTTCATTGTCAAATTTAAATTTTAAATGAACATTTTATTTTGTATTTGTAGAAAATTATTTTCAATAATTAATTAATGTTAATATACCGCAAATAAAGATATAATTAATACCTGAAAAATATAGTACAATAACTTACATTCTTTTTCGAAGATTATTTAGACGAATTCAAGTATTATTAGATATTAAATGATATCTATAAATTAATAGTTTTTTTTTCAATTTATACAATACAATAAAATAGAGTAAAATAATATCGGATCTAAGCAGTAGAAACTTTATGAGAAACTTATTTAATAAGTTGTAATAATCAATTTTGGTTTACATATATTCCGCTTCATATCGATGGCTTCAATAAATTTAATTAATTTTACATGTGCACCATCTGCGACATGTGTGAGACGTAATAAAATATTAAATATGCAAATCTATAGAAGTGTCAAGTCCACACGCCGCGCTGTCGTATCGGTTAAAATAACATTTTCACAGTCATCCCAAGTTTATTGCGCAATGGCGTGAATTGAATGCCAGTTAAAATTGAGTAAAGTGACTGAATCATTTATCGAAGGCCACGGAGAAGAAAAACAAACCTTTCAGATTGCTCGTCGCGTGATTCTTCCTTACTCTTGTCACGTTTGCTCGTAGAATACAATAGAGAAGATTTTATTCCTAGAGTGCCCATTGTGGAAAAAATAATAGGAAAGGTGATCGTTCGATTATGATATACGTACGAATAATCTGACATTGATGCTTTTTTTGTTCTTGCGATTATACCAAAAATACATATATATAGCTGCGTTCCGTTGATTACTGTAAATACTGAAAATCTATACGTATACAATTCGGATTTATTTTTGCGAAATAATATCAGTCTAATACTCGAGACTTTTTATATCTTAATTTTATGAAGTTAATTAATGTTATAGTAAAAAATTATGTACTGATAGTATCTATCGATTTTATATGAGTGTATAATCTGGCTGATATTATATCAGCAGATTTAGAGAGTGTGTATGGATTATTCACAATTAAATCAAGAAATCACAACGTTATTATACCTAATATAAAATATTTTTGATCGAGAGAAAATAATCTCTCTAGTAAGACAGATTTTGTAGCCGATATGTGATCGCCGCCTTTCACAATCAGCCGCTCATCTTCTAAAGTACCACTTTCGTGATCTCCGTCCACGACCGAATGTTTAAATTGGCAATGATTAATCACGTTTAACTTACGCGGGTTCAACCTCCGAAACGACTTTTGCGTGAACCGTCACGTGCCTGGTGGTTCGTTTATCATCGAGTTGCATTTACCACAGTGCAGCTGACTGCACCAGCGATGAGTAATGTAGCCGTGTAGGCAGAGACTGCAGAAATTAAATTTAACCGTTACTTACTGCCACGAGTATTTAACACCTCATCGCAGCAGTTTTTTTCCTCTCAAGAACGTAGGTTGATGTCGACTTTGTTTCGTGAAGACTCGACGAAGATTCGACGTTGTCTTTATCGAGGAAACACTATACTTAGGATAACGTATATATCTCTTTCATGCTGAAAGATGCATCTTACCGAAGCGGAGTTTTGCTTCTGTCTTACATTCGGTTGCTATCTACGTTCTACGATTCAGTTTTGATATTTTGTTGCTAGACCAAGCACAGTGATACTACCATAATGTTACATCATTTAATTATTCAATTTTCAAATTGGCTTCGGTAATTAATTCTATACCAGTTCTATATTAATGTTGTTGCAATAATAAATGTATTATATACAAGTAAAACGGTATAACATTTGATTTTTTGTGTCATCCTGTGTATGTACATGTTATATTTTATTTAGCATTTTATATTTAACTATTTCATGTAACAGATATTAATGTAGTATGTTAACAATATTATCTCTTGTTATATCGCTGTCGTACGATACTAAACGTAAATTTAAGTTTCTTGAAGAAAAAAACAAAATAAACATGCAATATCTCTCTTTTGATATCTCTTCAGACTCGATACTTCAAAGCTAATCAAAAGATAACTCAAAATATGATTAATCTAAAAATTCTGATTTCTTCACCAAGTCATTTTTACAAATAGGATTAAATATAGCTGTAAGATATTTATGGATAGAGATGTCTATACGTTATCTTATAGACAAGTCGAGATAAAATGTTACATCAGGTGTGCTTTTTTTATCAATACGTTGTTGAAGAAACATGAATGTAAGTCACTTTTTTTTTTCTGCATAGATTCCGATAGCGAGAGCAAAGATGGCTCCACGACACAGGAGAAGAAACACGGCCGTGTCTCGCAGCCCATCAACACCATTGCCTACACGGTAAGTGCGTCTGCATGCATAGTAAGCATCTTAATTGAGCGTACATTAAGTTCTGGTATACTTGGCGATGCATTCTAATGGGCAATCGAGGCAAGAAGATTAGATGCCACGAAAAGCAAATGTAACCTTTGCTCGAATGCATAAATATCCATTATCCTTTGTAGTAATTTAGCGTAACGTAACTGTTTCTTCGCTGTTGCTGAAGAAAGACATTCAAGATGAGATTTGAAACAGTTTTAAAATTCCGGTGTTATAACGATTTATTAATGTAAAATGAAGATTCATAAAAAAGAATCAATTGAAGTCTATGATGAAGTTGACGAATCAGGCATAAGGAAACATTGTCAAATAAGAAATCTTGCTTAACAGCGTATACATTTTTTAAAAAAAAAAGCAAATTCCGTTACACATAAACTAAAATTCTCTAGCGGTACATTTTTCAACCGTTATGTGACTACGAAAGATAATCGCGTGATTTTTTCCTAAAGTTATATATTTTTGTTAGACATGTCAATGTCGGGCAAAAATATCGACTATGAATAAATTCAGATATTTAAAGATTATTTATATTCATTCTGAATGAATAAACATTATATCGAGTATATCAAATAACAAATAAGTTTAAAAAAAAAAAAGACTAACCAAGCGACGATAATATTCTAATTTTTTAATAATAAAGTAGACACGTCAATATCGAGTAAAAATATCGACTATGAACATCTTCAGATGTTTAAAAACTATTTATATTCATTCTAAATGAATAAACATTATATCAAATATATCGAATAACGAATAGGTTTTTCTAAAAAAAAAAAAAACTAACACACACATACACACAAAGTGACATTATGCAATCTCAACAATATAACGACTTTTAAAATGAAACTTTTAATGGGTAGATTTTTTATGCGCGGTACAGCTATGTAAATTTTGACTAAATAAGCCTTCAAAGAAGAAAGTTTTGAAAACTGAAAGTATTCATAAACATAGAGAGCGAATATGAATAGTTAAACGATATCTAATCGATATTTTTATATAAAAAGCAGCAAAAAATATCGAATATTTGATACTATCGAATAATGATAAACCTATTACGTAATTAGAAAGGTCCTTTGATATATGACACTTTCTTATAGACAATTTTTTCAAACGACAAATATTTTTAGAATTATTTATTAAACAACAACTCATTTTATAATACACAGGACACTCTGTGTAAAAAAAAAACATATTAAAAGATGTATGAAAGATGTAAATAATAATATATTAAACAAAACCATTATATTATTCTGCTTGAAGAAATACATTTTTATACTAAACGTATATAAGGTAAAATCAGTTTTAACAGGATTCGCGCATATTCTGTGTTAGTCGAAGTCGAGGAATTAAATGAAAGAATTGAAAATTCAAAGGAATTTATGCAGAGGTACAAGATCGTAGCGGCAAAATAAGAGCTGACCGCACATATTACTGGCGCTTCGGTTATCAGCCGCGGTTATCAGCGTGCGCGCGCGCGTATTTCTCGGTGCGAGACACTTCGGCATGAATTCCAATTACTTCGCTGAGAGCCCGCGCTCGCAGACTCTCGTTAGCGAAATAGTTTCTCCCCGGTGGGTCGTGTTCGTGGCGAAAGGCCGCCGCGAGTTTGCAAAGACCGCGGACATTCGCTCCCGGAACCTTCGGAGACGCGGGACGGTAACTCGTGCGCATCGCTCGAATTCTGGAGCGGCGCGTATGCAAAGATCGCGGTCTCGAGGCGGCACGCGTCCACTGCGCCCCAAGTCCGTCGGAACACCTCGTGTCGAATCGATCTGAATTCTGATCTGCGAGTCTTCCGTTTCAATGACACGTCCGATATCTAGACGCTTTTCCCCTGGCTTTTTCTTGCGCGAAGAATCTCAAGACATTCGACTTTTATTTCGTACAATTTCTCGAACGATTTTATTACCTGAAATATAAAAATTCAGTCAAATACGGATCTGAAAAGAATTTTGTCGGATCGTTAAAGCAATTATGTAGGATTCTCAAATATGATGAGTAATGATATAAAAGGTTTTAACAATTTTTCAACTTAAGCGTCTTACGTAATTATTTTGATGGTTCGACAATATCTTTAAGATCGGTATTTGACTAAATTTTTACGATTCAGCAAAACCGTTTTTTCCATGAAATTGAAAACGAATAAAAAATAGTAATATATGCGATATATATCTCGTGACACATAAATAAAACGTAACCCATATAGAGAAGAAGTTTGGTATAGTTTTTTGTATCTTCGTATTTTTTTTCGTGAGTTATCTTTCTTCACTCACAATTCACAATACCAATAATTATATCTTACAATTAGTTATAGTGCCATGTAACGATAAATAAAGTCGATCATGATCGCCGATTTTGTGTACAGGTCTCGAGGAAAATTTCTCGATCGTAAAGCACTCAAGGAAGAATGGCATCCTTCTTCCTCTTCCTTCTAACCCTAACTTGTTCCTAATGCTTGTGAAAGGCTCGCTTCGGGGAACGGAAGACCGCGTGACGTTTATCCGACGAGGAAATAGAGTTGTTGCACAAGCTTCACTTCCTGATTCCCTTCGGAGAAGATAGAGCAAAGCAGAAATCTGCTTTTGCAAATTTAGATGCAGGTTTCATTGATCTTGATGTATTCATTTTCTTTCTAAATGTTAACTTTAGTAGAAATTTTGTCTGATGAGAGAGTAGAAGTTTTTTCTGATAAGAGAGATTAGCAAGAGATAGTTATTAATTATTCAATTATCTTGCGATTGAATTAAAAAGTTGTTGTGCTAGCATTACAATTAAATTTCGCAGAAACATCGCTGATTATCATATCTTCAATGTAAATAACCAAGTAAATAAGTTCAATCTACGAATATATTCGTTATCTCATTGACTTTCTGTTGATTCAATACGATATAATTCTCGTGTAATTATTCAAATCATTGTGTTTTATATCAATGAAATAAATTATAAAATTAATGAAAATTGGCACAAATTAATCATTAATCACGAGAAAAAAGAAAAATTATTTTCAAATTTAAAGAAAAGAATTTAATATTAAATTCTCTCTTAAAATTCAAGATTGAAATAATGATTTCCATGCGCGCAATATGAGTCCTATCTTTTCGTAATTCACGTAATATTACAAAATTATTTTTTCTAAAAAAAAAATAGAAGAGCATTAAGTACATACGAAAAAAGTATTCTACAAAACAATGTTTTTTAAATACATTAACAAGTTTAAAAACAATAATAAATCACATAAAAAATGTAAGAAATTTTTATTTTACGAAAAGAGACTTAAAAAACATATGCCTTTTGTAAAAATAAAAAGTAATAAAGTAAGAAATATATTACGATCTTATTGTTTAAATTAATTTTTTCTAAATTTAGAAAAAAAATTGGAAACAATTCAATATTAATTTCTAAATGACTTGTCAACTGACCGAAGATAGAAATAAATGATTTCCACGGTTGTATGCACAACATTAATGCATTTTCGCAATTCACGTAATGTTAAACCGTTGATGGGTCGTCGTCCTTCGGTAGCTACTGGCGTTACCCCATTTAACAGCAGCGAAATCACTATCGCGTAGCGTAATCCCTATGCGATAATCACGGTGGCTGCGATTCCTGCTCTATATTAGAGCCTAGCTTATGTCGCTCACTTCGGCTTCCTTGCATCCCGTTGATCGATTAACGTCTGTAATCTGACAATTTCTCTTATCTTTCTGACCTCAATGTTCATCACAATCGCGCACAATTAAACAACAACAATTTCCAAGTTCACACTTATCATTTCATTTGTTTTTGGATGGAGATATCTAAGACCTATTTTTGTTTTTCCATCAACGTTATCGTAATTTCGAGTTACACTGGTATCAAAATTAATGCAAAGTATTATTTGGGAAAGAGATTGTTTAACTCGACATTATATTATTAAACAACAAAAAATATGCCAAACTGTGTATTATAAACGTAGTCTTACTTTCATCATTTTTTTATTTCTGTAGTTTTATCATTGTAACAAAAAAAATTTTTAATACTTGTAGTACTTGTAATTAGATGGTTCCATCTTATCTTTTTATTTTTGTTAATTTTACAAATCAGTGTACTACGCACACGACGTAGACTATTTTGGACAGCCGTTACAAAACTTGCTCTTGGAATCGAGTTTAATGGAAACTGAACACATTAAAAAAATTAAGAAATAACAAGGGACTTTCTTTATACAAAATAAACATAAAAATGGCATTGTAAGAGTCATATAAATAAGAATAATAATTTAAACAGCAAATTTAAATTATATATATATTTTTAACATTATCTATTGAGACAACGCTTAAAACTAACTTATAATAGGTACAACATAGACAAAGATGTATGACATTATATTACATTATATTGACTATTCGACCACATATTTTGGTCCTCTTCAGAATAGAACATAATTATAGATATCGTCAAACGGATTAAGAGAGATTTATAGAATTTTTTATATAAATCTGTAACAACAATATAAGGATATGACTATAGATTTAAAGTGAACATAGAATATTAAAAATAACTATGATTTTTTTAAAAATTATAAAATTATAGATAAACGCATCAAGACATAAGAATATATTATAATTTAAAGTTAAATGATTCAGAATTTCAGATTAAAAAATTCACATTAAATATTATTTCACATTATAAAAAAATTATACACGATCCAAGTGTCGCACGTGTACAATAGACGAATCAAAATTACGTAAAGATAACTTAATAATATACATTTAACAGTAACGAAAGAAGCGATTAAACTTTAGAAATCTACTTTTATTGTTGTAATTTGGACTAAACTTAATTAAAATATTTAAAAAATTTTATATTATTATTCATGTTATTATGACTTCGTTAAATAATATGGGATTTAATAAATCCCATCTTAATAATTGTGCTGCATATTTCCATTTGAGCAATGTCGAGTTAAAGCATTCTTCGCTCCGTTTAACTTATCAAAGTATTCAAGCAAATTTTCTTACCTGAAAGCTACGTAATAATTTTTAACTGAAATTCCTTATAATTAACTTACGACATTAGACTTTAAGAGATTTTTGTGAAGTCAGCATCTGATACGATTAACCTACGACATTAAACTATCAAAGCGATTTTTATTCAGCATCTGATTTTTAAAATCTTGATACAGTTGATAGAATTTTGGCTCTTCTTTAAAGAGTTTTGAATACCGTGTCGAAATTTCTCTCAGAAGGTATTAAAAGTCAAATAGATTTTTATTAAGGTAAAAGTCTCAGTAGGTTTTGCCATTCACAAAACCAAAAGTTTTCCAGCTGCAAAATCTTGATTTCGATAACAAGACATTTAATGTTTAAAGCCTGTTCTACAATGTGCATTTTGTTTCCTGTTTTTTTGCCTTTTGCTATTTTTTTACATCTTGTTTCTTTGCCTCTTATCCCATTCTTCGTTTTCTATTGCTCAAGATAAAAGGTAACAAACTTAGGAAGAAACAAGAAATATACGTGGTAAGAAATATAATTGTCAATAAAACGGTTGCGAAGATAGAAGAAAGCAGGAGGTAAAAAGCAAGAAACAGAAAACAAAGAGCACATTCTAGAAGAGGCTAAAACCAATTGCATTCGTTGAAAAGATGTTTTCTGTGGATGTAAGAAAACCAGGGAACTGATAAGAAACGATATACTGTCGAAAGCAGGCTTGAATGCTAAAATGCAGCCGCATTAATATCAAAATTTTTTAGCGTTATGCAGAAAATCGGCAAGTTTGAGAGATAAAAATAAAAAGCTTCTCTGTCTCTCTCTCGTGGGAGATCTTTTGTAGTTTGTCTCAGCATCTCGCTCAGCGAAAACGAAGATGAAGATTATAAAGCCGCAGCTAAAAGACGCGGAAACTGAAACAATGGCTATCGTACTTATCTTCTTGCTTTTCTCGGTTTCAGAAAATATCCCCCCTCCCCTCCCCCCTCCCCGTCCTGCTCTCCACCATCGATCTTTTTTCTTTACTCTTCTTCTCATAGCTTCATCACAGCGATTCTGGCTTTTTGCTCCGTTTTAATCGATCTCTCTTCTCTTCCTTTTGCTGTCGCCCACGCGTCTAATCTCTGTCGGACGGATAGCCGTTCTTTTTCTCGTTTGACCGCACCACTAATGGGACGAGAATGAGAAAAGGAGGGATCTTGAGCTGCTTTCTATAATCACTATATCAATCATCTAATCTTGATCGTTCTATATTTATCCGGAATGAAGGATGTCAAAAATAGATATTCATGCGAATTCTTACATTCTATGTCACATTGTCCAAAAATAATTTATTATATTTAATAAATTTATTTTTGAAATATATTTTTTGGATTGGTAAATAAAACAGAAATAATGAAAAAATTTTCAATACTACGAATAATTCTATTATGAAGTCTTAAGTAAAAAATAATGTAAAAATTACAACCAAGAAATTTTTGAATAATTTTATATAAACTTATATTAATATGAGAGTAAATTTATTTTAATTAATTAAAGATTGACTGCAGTAAAAATATATTAATTTGTTAATTTATTTGAGCTGTTTGTAATTCAATTTTAAAAATATGTAATTACTAATGTAATAAATATATATAATTTAACATTAATATTAGAGTTAAGGAATTACTTAAAAAATTTCAAAGCGTATTTCTGAGAAATAATAAGAATTATATATTCATCCCTAAAAATTAATAACGGAATGTGTAGGATACGTAATACACTACAGTATTGAAAAAAGTATGGTATCTGTGTAAATGCTTTGAAAGTAAAATGGCTTAATTATTCGAGTAACGAAGGGCTTTAAAGCCCCAGGGAACTTCATCGAAAAAAATGATAATAGCAAAGCAAGATTTCCGTGTCGTAGCACCTAATAGAGTTACGAGAGCGCCAGGGAAATGGTAGACAACGCGCAATTGAAGAGAAGGTTGAAGTGTCGCGGAATAATTAACGAATTTCCCAGCGGGACATAAATCGCGTTTTAAACGTCGGAAACCTTATTTTCCGCCGATGTTCCTGGAAAATGGCGGACTTGCCGACAGTGAGATTAGCATCCGCTTACGTGAAGACGAGCTTTTTAATTAAATTACCCTCGACCCTTTCTTGCGGGGTGCTTTTGCTTAAGAAGAGGAGCGCAACCGCGGCAAATAGCTCGGCCGAAGCAACACCGCGGCATCGTTACAGCAAGTCGTTGCATACGAATTCACATAAGAAACGAGCCGCAGCCGCGTCCCAGCTGAGATTCTTTTCCAGAAATTCAATTTTCTATCGTCCGATACTCACAAGTGCGCCGGTTTCTGTCGGATTATGTAAATGGGCTAATGGCCCCCCGTGCCTGCCGCAGGCGCTCGTGTACGGGAAAACGCGTACCCGGGGAAAGCTCGGATGCGCAAGAAGTAAGATTTTGTCACAGATGCGATCCTCTCGGAACGTTGCGTCAGCGTCGAGTTTGTTAGACGCGCAAATACGGATTCGATTTACAAAAAGTGAGAAGGACGAAATTTAGATCGATTGTTAATACGCGTTATTCCTGACAATAGGAACATTTTAAAGATTCGTTCATATATATGTACGAATAGAACAAAATGGAACAAAAGCCAATAAGGGTCTATTCTCAATAATGAAACATAATCCAACACAAATCTAATAGTGAGTATACCAAAAACGTACGTATAATTATTAAAAAGTCACAAAAATGGGAAGAAAAAGGTTTTAGCGCTATGAAGATACAATATTAATTTAACATGTTTCGGCCTTGTATCTAGGCCCTCCTCAGAAATACGGAATTATGATGCCGCAAATCAATAATACGGTAACGACAGTTTTGTTAATAAAATTAAATTGAAGATGAGAGAGTAACGTTGAAGGACGATGAATGGTTGCTCGGAGAGCAACCGAAATTGCTCGTCAAACGATTGGCTGACCGGATGAGAAAAATTTCTCGTAGTTCTATTGAGGACATCAAATTGCATTAAGTGTCTTCTGAATTTTTAGTAAAATAAATGAATTACGTTTCTCTGATTATAAAAACTCACCTCTCCGTCCAAAAATTAAAGGAATCTATGTCAAGGTTAAGATTGTCAATAATATAAAATCGGCGGAGTTAAAAATTTTAGTATTATATAATAAGTGTGTAACGTCTGATAAGTATTAAATAACAACCGTCTAACTGTCACTGCGAACGATACTGTAATGCGAAAGATCTTGTGATATATATCAAGATTCGTGATATACTCGTATTGTATATATCAAGGAGAATACAATTTCTGCAATAAAAAATTACTTGAAATTGGAAATTTATACTTGCCGTATAAAAATGAATGTTTTATATATATATATATATATATATATATACACAGCCCGACAAGGTTAATATTTATATTTAACAGTGTACTTTTATAGTTTAAATAAAAATTGTTTTATTTTAATTTTATTTTTAAAAAACTATTATACGTATCTATTGAAATAATGTTTTATTCAAGTTTTAAATTGCCATAAATTTTCTTGTATTATCTTCAAATACAAACATAGAACAATCTATAACTTTTTTTGTTTCTTTAAAGAATCCATATATTACATCCTTAAGATGTAATAGTTTGTTGCGTATCCATGTATAATATCATCATTGCGTATCAATGTAGACGGAGAATATTGCACTGTTGCATAAAAAATCAATATTATGATACAATGATATGCAAAAGCACTTCGTGTCGTATTATTAAATTGATACGCAACCATGATATTCTATATATAACACGCGTATACGCAATAAGTTTACCTATATCCGCCTTTGTGTTACATTAGAAACGTCTCAGATCTTTTTGCTCACGACGAGAATCAAGATTCAATCATTTAGCGCGTATTTACTCCGACTAGTTCGTTTGAAATTATCCGATTAAAAAGTTTCATAAAAACGACAATGAGTCTTCTTTTGTTATTTGCATGAGAGGAACGTGCAAAGAAAGTGATTCTTTCTGAGAGATTTTACGATCTTCGTAAATTGATTTCCACCTAATGACACGTTCACTTTTGTAATTATAGGTGGGTGATAGAGACACGCTTACATCAGTGGCAGCGCGATTCGATACGACGCCATCCGAGTTGAGCAAACTGAATAGGCTCGGAAGTACTTTCATTTATTCCGGTCAGCAGTTATGGGTGCCGGCGAAAGGAGAAGGACGTCCGGGAGGCGGATCAGCCGCAGATGCGCCCAGCCCTGACCCTTGCCACGATCATGAGTCCCAGGATGACCTACCACCCGAAGAAAAAGGTAATCTTCATCATTTGATTTAATCTTCTTAGATGCTGACTTGTTGGGTCATCGTAAAATGTTTACTAAAGCCGATATCTTCAAGTTTACATTCAACAAAGAGTCACACTTGTAAGTTTTTTTTTATCTGCAAATAGTGCATTCAAGATTTTATCATCTTGTGGTGGATATAGAGAATTCTAGAGGAAAAAAATTTTAACATTACGTTCTTCTTCTCAGCGTCATAATCTCTGTGTACAAAAAGAATAGAATAATCCGCTGAAGTATCTAAAATTTAGCTAAAGAAAATAATTTTGTTGGATCTATCAAAATAATTATGTAGAAATGCTCAAGCTAGTTGTTGGAACTTTAATTAAAACTTTTTACAACATTACTCATCACGCTTGAATTTTCCATGTAATTATTTTGATAGTCCAAGAAAAATATTTTTAGATCTGTATTTAGTTAAATTTTTAGATACTCTCTTGAGCAAAATTATTCTTTCCGCTTAAAAAAGTGTAAAAAAAAATTCTTAATTACATGCATGAATTTTCAAAGTGGTGCTAATGTAAGAAAAATATGATTCCAAGGGTAGAGAAAATAATCTGTATTATTGTTTAGCGAACGAAAGCGGAGAAGCGGGAATTTGTTTACGTATCATTATATGACATTACAGATAGCCTGTAGGAATAACAAGCTTTCGAGGAATAGATAATTAAAACTTTACTAACGATAATCCGACCTTATTATGCTTATCGCGCTTATCGTCAAATATCGTTAAATGGCTTACGAAGTAAGAGGAGGAAATATTTTCGACGACGTTGAAAATCTGCATTAGAGAGAGATATAATCCAGCTATCGCGATAGGCCGTCGAAGGATGATGACGCGCTCCTTTTTTTTCTCCCCCTCCATTTACCGGGATTTGCAACCAGGGCATGTAATTAAAACAGAAATCTCGTCCTTATTCTCGTCCGGATTCGTCGCCCGGGGTCCTGTCTCTCGCATTATGCAAATACGCAAGACAGATTTGATACACGCGTAGCGGCGTGGGCATGAATAATGCAGCAGGATCCGCGGAGTAGCTACGCCCAGGCGTTGGTGCTTGATATGCCCTAGATTGCCACTCACCTGGCTAAACACACGGAGGGAAAGAATTGGGATATCGGATATTATCTGCGTACAAAGTCGCAGCGTTCGAATGAATATTAATGCGTTACCCACATCCGCGTTACGCAGCTCCCGAGGGATCAATACGGAGCACTATTGTGACTATAACGCAACTGCCTTTTCGCGTTTTATTTACCCGTCGCCTGCGGCGAGCCGATGGTACTCCCACGTTTCACCTGTCGATTATCATCGATAGAAGTAGCCAGTCGAACCACTCATCACCGTACATTCGCGCGCGAGCTAATTAGGATAATTTTCAGCTCGGAATTACTCGTCGCATAAATCGCTGTCAGAATATTGCGTTATCATATTTTTAAATTGTCATATACCATTCTTGGAACTGAATATTGAACACAAATCATGTTGTAAGAGAAAGTTAATTAGAAAAATTGTGTTGCGTTATACTGGATTGATAAAAAAAAAGTTTATACAAAAAAGAGAAAGTTATGAAAAAAATTATGTAATATATTAGGACATATAAGAAATCACAGCATCCAAATCGAGCACAGCCTAGATCGTTTACTAGGTATATATTTTAATACTCTTGGGTCTTTTCCGGATATTTTCTTCAGAGGTGCCAAAGTGTTTGCAAATTATCGCTATGTCGTCATTCATTGCGCTAATGCTACCCGTTTCGCCTGCCTTGCATATCGTTTACTTCATTAGGGCAAGAAGCGCAACTGATACTGTATTAATTTGTTTCAAAGTTCAAAACTGAAAAGCTTCTATCCAAATAAAATTGAAAACTGACTTCAAGGTGACAGATAAGCTAGGAACAAAATGTTGATTACATTTTGCATTAATCTTTTCTATACACAATTGGATTATTTGTGTGTTCTATAATTCTCTTTCTTTTAAAAAACTAGGAGCACCAAATAAGTATAGTTCTGACATTTATATACAAATTTTTAAATATGCAACGTTATAGATATACACTTTTCTAAAAAAAAGTGTGATATTTGTAAAAATCACTTGATAATTTTTATATAAATATTTGTTAAAGTAATAAAAATTATCTGGAACGCGAATGACTCATCGTGTGTAGTAAAAAATCGGAAAATCACATAGAGTGTGTACTTAAGGATTAAATTAAATTGATAAATGTAAGTTTCGTTCTTCTATTGTTTTGAAAAACAGATGTGACATTTATACTTATTTATCAAACGATCTAATAATATTAAACGAACAAAAGTGCAGGTTCGTAATGTATAAATTAAAAAAAGTAACATATACAATTTTTTCTCCTTCGGAAAAAGAAAACGAGATTTGTACTTTCCGTCTTTTCCTCTATAATGTTATACCGATAGAATACAGTCATAACGCATATCTAATTTCTAAAAATATGGAACTGCTTTATTTACGACAGCCAGTTCATCCGTATTGAACGCACTTGCGAGGGAAATGATTAACGCTTAGGTACGTCAAGCGCGATAGAAAACTCGAGTGTCCTGACGTTACACAATTGCGTGATTCACTACTCGACTGTTTGTCTGTTTAGCGGAACAATACCAAGCGAATTGTTACGCGCGCTCGTTCGAAGTTTATTTATGTCTTCTTCTTCTTCTTCGGGAAACGCTTTGTCACCGCAGCTATCAGCGCCGTCGCCGCCACGTCGCACTGGTTTCAACTGCAACGCGAAATATGTATGTAACACCCGGATCGCGACATTCATGCGACACGTGTGCGCGGCGTCACGTTTCGCAGTGCCGAGCAGATTGGGGAGAAAAGGCGGGAAAAAATGACGTTTATCAAGGTCGATCCGTGGACCTGTATCTTCTGCGGATCGAAAGGTTGGCTTAGCACACACCGCGAAAAATGCAATCGTATTACAAAGGTGGCTTAAAATTAAAGACAGACCTTTTTTTACTTCGGAAAAAAAGTATCGAGTAAAAAATGAATTTTTTTATCTTTAAACCAAAATAAAATATAAAATTCATGAAGAATCCATGTTAAATGTATTATATATAAGAAAGATATAAAATTCATTTTTCATAGTTCTGATTGTTAAAATAATTGATATATTTAAGTACACTACCACTTATAATTATTTGAACGACAGATATTTTATATTTTACTCCGATTTTAAAAGCTAAATAATTGATGGCTCATATTGTAGATAATACTTTATTAGCATAATTGACATTGCCTTGTTGTGTATATTGGTTGTAACTGAACATATTTTAAATTTAATTACTGAGATAACGTTTTAATATAATGTTAATTTAAAAATAATTGTAGATAGATCTCAATGAACGTTGTTTCACTAATTTTAATTTAGAATGTGTTAATCAATGTACAACAAATTTTACAATTATTTTTAAAAAAAGTATATGATTAATATTAATAATTGTATGGGACATTTACTTAACTTTTAAAACTAGAATACAGGTCAATTTCATCTCTACAGATAAAGTCTCAGTAAAGATAAAAATGACCGAAAAAATAGAAGCTTTGATTAAAACTTAATAAAAACCAGTTTTTTTTTTACCACATCAGGATATGCATTTTCTTTAACCATTTCTTTAACCACGCTTCATTATTGTTTTAGAATTTATTTTTTTATATTCATCCATGATCATCCTCATTTAGTTATTATATTAGTTATTGTACTACATTTTAATTATTTGTAGCTATCTTTATATAATAAAGATAGCTAGAAACAATCAAAATGTAGTACAATAACTGACGATGTGTTGACCATACTTACAATCAGATTCAGTTTCGAAAGGACGTTATCAATTTATTAAGCACTACACACACAGACATTTTTTTTTCAATATTTATAAAGTTTCAAAGACAAGAGATGTTATATAATATCGAAATAACGTAAATATTAAACGTGTTTTAACGATAAATATATATTTCTTATAATTTTGATAAAAGACACTTTATTATCGTAAAAAAATCAGTTCTGCTCAAAAATAAAAAACTTGAATCGTACAATATATTGTATGTAGATAGTATATGCACATACATATGACAGCTATATCAGGTGCCTCGACTTCTTCCGTTGGAAAACTCGAGATCGATAAATTGGTGAAAAGAAGTGAGAATGTGTTAGCAATGAATATTATGACTATTTTAAAATATTCTGTATATCATTGATATCGCATTCAATATTCTTCCAATTTGTATACTTTTCAAAATTTCTCTTTCCCTCCTGCTCTCTTCATTCAAGAATGTTTCAAGTTATTGATTGTACGGGATGATGAACGAATAGAAATGTGGTATATCGGATCGATCGCACATGAAAAGGTTAAGAGACAGTTATTTTAAGTATGAAGGGAGGACCGGTTTTAGTTGTTCGATTTTCTTTTGCGGACCACAGTGCTCTCTTTCGTCGCCAGTGCCTGCGATATTCGCAATGTTTGAAAGAGGTCGCGAAATAAATAAATTGTCGAACGTACGCGCGAGTCACCCGGTATTATCGCGCTCATCAGCTGATCGACCACGATGTGCGCGGAGCGGCGTAAACACGGCTTTAACCTATATGCTAGCGTAATAATGCCCGTGCTACGTCGTGACGTTGTGGCAAATGAGATGGATGGTATAATTGCCGATTTCGTCGGAATTGTACACGCGTGACTCGTTACTCACATTATTACGACGAATAACGAATTGCATTCTGGATGTGAGGTTAGATCGGCATGAGCAGTCGGAGTTTGAACAAGTATCACAACGTATCTGTCATCAGATAACGAATTTTTTTTTTTTTTTTTTTTTTTTCAAAAATCACAGGATTCTCAGTCGAGTACGTTATTGTCGGTTCTTCAGTCCAAGTTAATCCTACTTGCTATTTAATTCTTATTAATGACGTAATTAGAACGTAATTTTTAATCAAATTTCTTGTGAACTGTCAACGTTTCCTTTATGTGTAATAGAATGAAACATGCACTCGTGTATTTCAAAACATATGTTTCTACGTCGCACACTTATTATCGTAACGTTTGATTTTATAGAACTTCTGGATAATCTGAGACCAGTATCACCAAAGCCAGGCCATATGGAACGTATAAAAACACCTTCTGGATCCGGTACAGTTGCAGATGAAGATGAACAACCGTTCAGAGAAAGATTTCTAAAAATTAATGTCAGGCATATCACAGATGGCCAGGTAATTATCTTTAATACTCTTTAAAATAGATAAACTTTAGCCTAAATTAAAAAAGAATATCTAGACAGCATGCATGTCCAAAATCAAGATACATCACGTTTTGAAATGTTTTTAAGACATTTTTAAGATTTCTTATGTCTTGATTTATATATAGATATTGTCTGAGCATTATCGAAATTTGGGCCAAAGTTATCTTAATTTTGGGAAGCTAGTTTATGATATCTTTAAATTCCATACGAGAATTTTAATATTTTCTAATGTTGAAATATTCTTCCAGGGTGTAGTCGGCGGTGTGCTGTTAGTTACGCCAAATGCAGTTATGTTTGATCCAAACGTATCTGATCCTCTTGTCATCGAGCACGGTGCTGAGTCTTATGGAGTGATTGCTCCCATGGAATTCGTAGTCAACGCTGCGATTTATTACGATATCGCGCACATGAGGGTCTCCCATACCGAATCCGGGCATTTAGACAAAAAGCCTGAAATTTATTACATGAAAAAACCCCAAATCGATAATCGTAAATGTCAATCTCCGGGGAAAGATGAGAATTTTCCCGAATTAGCAGGTGACGATAGCGAGAGTGTGTGTAGCTGCGCCGAGAGAGACGGCGACGCTTTTCCAAAGGCCTTTGAGCGAGAGCTTGTCACTCCTACCAATCTCCAGAGTGTATGTATTTTTTGCTGCAATGTCGATTTATTGCAGTGTTAATTTATTACGTAAAGCGAAATGTTAAAATTATATTTTAACGAATATATCGTTATTATAGGAGGAGAACTTAACTTCGACCAAAGATAAAGAGAAAGAGAAAGATAGTAATGAGAAAGAATTTTGCACTAGCGGCCAAGCTAGTAGAACTTTAGAAGAACGCAGACGTTCCATGCTCGATCATCATTGGGCAATTCCTAGCAAAGATCGAAGTACGTTTTCGGTTGATGACGAACAACAAGATTCATTAAATTCTGATAAGGTAATTATATTTCTATTCGTGATGTGTGTGTGGGTCGTGATCGAGTACAAAGAATTAGTAAAATTTATATATTTAATTGAAATTAGGATATACATAATACACATTTAATAATCATAAAAAATAGATGTACATTCAGAAACAATTGTTACAGCAAACGGAACCACCAGCTAAATCAAATGCCATTCCTGAAGACGAAGAAGGATCTCTAGTCAAATTGTCGTGCCATGATTCTGGTATCGATATCCGTGATCCTAATCCACCTGTTCCAGTAGTACAGCCTATACCATCAAAAAAAGTTTACTCCGATGCGGATATTGTTTTATCCTCGGATTGGGTTCCTCCGATAACGATAGCACCAATGAATATTACGAGTATGTTGGAAGCCAGTTCTGCTATTAACGGCAGGAAAAAAGCCAGCTCGGTGTCCTTTAGCTTAGAGAGTAACGCAGAAGAGCCTGAGAAGGATGAAGAACACAAAGAGGATGATAAACAGGAAACTCGAAAAAATAAGGTATATATTTAAATTTTTCGTGTGCATGGCAATAATGCGAAATTATACTTTTTTATAGATATGTTTTATGTGTATGTTTTGACATTTTAGATGCTAAAACGTCTGTCGTATCCATTGTCCTGGATGGAAGGTTTAACTGGAGAGAAGGATGACGATAGCAGTAAATCCATCTCTGACAAGATGTCAAGCCTTCCAAACAGTGCAGATTCCCATCATTCCTCTGTTTTCAGCAAAGTCTTCTCGAGGTGAACAAATTTATGTCATATTATATTGATAATTATCGATAAATAATCTAGCGTGTTTAAATATATATGACATTTTTACAATTGCTTTTATTTTTTCACACACTTCTATTTATTTGTGTTAAGAATGATTAACATTTTTGCAAAAATGCATATTTACAAAAAAAATGAATAATCTTATCGCTTTTATTTTAACTTGCTTTTTGCGAATTTCTATAGAATATAGTATACAAATGAGGTTATTTGTATGCAATCATTCCTTGTGTAACATTTGCGTTTATTGTATCTTTTTTGGTAGATAAAATTAACTTTATCTTTATGAAACTGATATAGCCTCGTTTGTGTTAAGCTTTGTATCCACAATGCTATAAATCGCTCCGATTTCTCAAACAGATAAAGAATAAAAATAAATTACATTTGAACAATTCGATCACATGATCAGTGCGATTGGTCAATTTTTTTCTCCGTCCAAGATCTCTGATCGATTTCTAGCATCATGGATAATAAAGTTTTGTAATGTAGCACATACTAGCTACTTGCATAGGAAGAGCTTCTGGCATATGAAAGGCATTACGAAATATAAAACTTGAAAGGAATATATAAATACATATAGGTATACATGTTATTGACGGTCAGTTCAGTCATCCAAAAGACTGATAATAATTGTGCGGTCAATTGTGATGGAACTCCGAGATGGTTTATGTTTAAATATTTATGTTTATGTTGCGCCTATATTGCTTATGATACGAATTTAGATATTTATTAATGCTTCACTATTATTTCTAATGTAACTAACAAAGAATATGTAATGGTGGTGGAAAAAGCTCGCCGATCAACCTGGTGAGTGACTTTAGCTCGGGCCTGTTTGCTAAAACTCCCAGCGAAGAGAGTGGCGGGGGCGGTAGAGCGGGCGGAACTCCTCCGCTTACCGCCTCCTCTCTCTCCCAGGACTCCAGCAATTTCTCACCTGGTCCAGGAAGCCTCATTGGGTGAGTCTGGACCCGATTGTAACCTTGTTGTGTTTCCCCATTTTTACTATTTCTTTATTCTTTTTTACCTGATCTATCTTTCATCTAATCGATTTTTGCATATGTCGATTCTATTCTAGTAGAATTCTCCCTCAATGTTGTAATTACGAAAATAGAACATTATGTTATTCGAATCTTGTAAGTGTAAATATTGCAAAAGTAAAATTATATATGTATTACGCATTTGTTAAAGTATTCGGAGAATTTTACTGTTCCAATGTTTCTCCCTTCCACACATCTCTCCATTGTTATGTTATTATTTTTTAATTTTGAAGACACTCTAGGATTGAGGGCTCCTGCTTTCAGGTAATCACATTATTCGTCGAAAGACTCAAATGACAGACATTGCTGATACTATTTTTCAGATCGCTTACAGCCAAAACATAATCAATTTAACACAGCGTTTAATATCCTCAAGCAATCATATGATTTATTATTCGTCATTTATACTGGACTTATACCTTGATTGTTATTTCCCTTTATTATTGTTATGGATGTTATTCTATATATATCGCTTCTGAATTATAAGGATGTGTAAACTCAATGTGCTGTAATCTAGTTAGATACAGCTAACATGTACTTGTTATTCAGAAGCGTTTAGAATGTTGCCTGATAAGAAACTCTTTCCTTATCTTTCTTACAATTGCATTGTTTTACGAATTTCCTTTCAGACGCTCTTCCGTGGGTACTTTTATTAGACAGCAACCTTTAACATCTTCTGGCAGCAGCAGCGTCGATAGCAGTCGAGGTAGCAAAACTTCCACGACGGCACCTCGATTGGACTACCGTAGTATGGTCTCGGTCGATGATATGCCGGAATTGTTTGTGAGTTTCGACAGTAAGTATCGCGATCATATAGAGACATCTCCATAAAATATTTCATGTTTTATCGGAATGGATAGTCTAATAATCATGATGACATACTCCAACAGACTTTCCTCTTACACAAAACACATGTTACTTTTGAAATGACATTTAATATTGGTATCGATACGGATAAAAAATAATTAGTGATAATAAGGGGATAGCAAACGGGATTAATATATCATGCACTGCACTTGCCCGAAAACGCATAGATAGCTTTTTAAACCGTGTTGTTTTGCCAATTTATTGTCCCTATTTCAGAATTTTCGAGCGCCTTTGGCTATAATTATTATAAATTTTTGCAAAAATTTAATATTTTCTAAATTTTATTAATATATCGTTTTAAATTGTCAGACAAACCCGGGATTTCAGTAACCAAATGCGCTTATCTTGATGTATATTAAAGTTTATCACTATTTTAAATCATATTTGTTTATTATTATCAGTTCCATACATCATTTCATTATGTAAATGTCAAATGTTATTATTTTTCTTTGATATATAAAATATTTTCAATATTTTAAGAAAAAAATAACATGAATAATGCAGATCCTGTTTGACCTTAATTAACTTTCTACTTTATCTATCTTAATTTGTGTATTTTGATAAATATAAGTATTTTATCAAATGGTATTTTAGAAAAAAGATTTAATTGGAAATAAGCACTTTTCATATTTCTTAACATATTTCTTTACAAACAAAATATAACGGATATACCTTCAGAATCTTGAAACCCTTTGTGCCATATTGCATGTGATGGACGTCTTGATCCAATTGAAACGATCTTTTTAATAATTGTCATTTGAAAGCATACTTAGCATAGAATTTCAAATTTTTCGCGTATAATCTTTTCTATAATAATCGAACAAAAACATATACTAATCTTTAAGACCATCTATAGTTCTGCGAAATGTGATATGTTTGATTGTTATAGATTTTGATAGTAATTGTTGCATATTTCTGTATTGATTGCTCAATCACATCTTTCTGTCTCTCTTTCTCTTTATATACAGTAATATTTTATCTATTTCAGATTAGCACAACGGGTTTCATCATTTAGCTAGCAATAGGTTCATACTAATGCAGTAATGTCATTTGTTTCTGTTGTCCCTCTAGTCCAAGCACCTAATTTTCCCGAACTCGAAGGCCTGGGTAGGTTCATATAGTATTAGCTTGCTGTTTTCCTTGTGCCGCGAATTCCCAATTCTTTAGTTGCCTCTTTCGTACATCTGTCAAATGTAACGATGTTTTTGTATAATTTTATTTACTGTCATGCATTAAACATGATTTGCGCAATTCATTGGGCAACCAAACACTATCACTGTAATGGTTATTTCCATTTCATCACCATTTTTCTTGCATATATTATATATTTTGTCAAATTCTTCTATAATATCTGTGCAGTATGTACATACTATTCATCTATCACGATTTTATCTCGTTGCTATTGTTATTCCTTTTACACAATAATTCTTACTCTGACACCCTCTACTCACTTTTTTGTGGTAATGTGCTTGCCTCGTTTTCCAATTTTATTCGTATTTTTTACCTATATGTGTATTTTGCGTGTGATTTTTATATAGCAATTTTTAAAGAAAACTCAGAAAATAATCTTATACATATATTTATAAATATATATGAGCTTTTTATCACAATAAGATATCTGTATTATGATAAAATCATGAGTCATATTGCCTGAATTCGTAAATTCTATATTTGAAAGATTAATCTATCGATTATAAAACTCTTATTACTGAAGTATCTGATCTATATTGATCTATATTGATCTGATAAATATTTTCCACTTTACGTAGAACTGATTCCACGACCTGCTCGTTCTTGCGAGGACCCACCGCTGTACCTGAGATTACGAACGGGAAGACCCAAGGACAAGAAGATACCACGATCGACGCCAATTATGAGTTACGGCAAGAAAAAACTGCGTCCCGAATACTGGTTCAGCGTACCACGCAACAGGTAATTGTTTCTCACGTTTCAATTTCTCGCAACTTCTCATCTCTTCAGTTATTACAATTTAGTAAAATATGCGAATGTCACAAATAGAAATTCTGTCATTAAATTCCTTCAATTTAATTATAAAGTATCTATACTACACGTCAAAACAGTACACCAATTTCTCGATCTTATTGTTAGATGATATTTTTTGACTAGTGTTTTACTGAAGATTGACTAACCTACTGTCGGAGATTTTTTTTCTTGACATTCTGCCAAAGATTGATTATTATTGTCGAAATTATTACTTTTTTTCTATAATGCCTTGTGCTTTCTCTTAAAAAAAAGTCATCAGATTTGGTCCTCTCAGTCGGAAATTTATTCGAAACCGAAGGAAAAAAATCGATGTGCATACTCAAAAAAAAATCATCAAAATTTAGAACGGTTAGTTGGAGATTTTTTATCTGCCGGAGAGTCAGAAAGTTGTTTAAAAAGTCGGAGTTTTCAATCGAAAACCGGAGAAGTGACAACTGTACAAATATAATGTTTGGACTGTTTGAATAAATTAATTTCAAAACTTTTTTGATCAAATTTTCTTATGTTTCCAAACAATTCTAATTTTCTAAAATTTATAAAAAATTTATCGTCGATGGAAGAACTTTTGATATTATATTGATTTTTTTACATTCTTTGTTTTTTGCTTCGCAGTTTATTTCTAGCATGTTGAAACATGAAGATTGGAATTTTTTGAGGTTCCTGTATTCCTGCAATATACAACAGGATCAATGGGTCTTTTTTTTAACGCTTAACGAGTTGTCCTCAGGAAACGATTTACAGGCCGCCACGTTGTCCGCGATAAGTCAATCACTTGATCGTGCACGAATAAATATTCGACGTTTCTCGGGTAAAAACACGCCGGTAAATTTCCTTCTGGCGAAAATGCCCGCTGCGTTATTTTTGTACGTACGGCCGGTTTATCGTACGGCCATCTCCATGAAAGAACGGCATCCAGGACGTGTTACGACGAGACACGTGCTTCGTCGCAAGACACGCAAAATAGATTTTCGCCGGAACTTCTATTTATACGCTCGCTGATGCTCGATCAAGGTTTCGTTGCGCGTCGGCTGCCAGTGTTTTTCTTCTTGTTGCATGTGTTTAAAAACCATTTTGGAATAACGAAATAATGAATACTTTGCTTGCATATGTGAAACATAAGCTTGGTACATAAAATTTAAAGTGAGGAGAATACACTACAATTTTTCGAGAGATAACTTCGGATTATTCTGAAGCCATTTATTATTTTTTTTAATCTATTGTATTTATTTATCGTATCTTGTAAAGTAAATGTGTTTTAATTTTAAAAGAAAGGAAGAGACACGTGTACCCTTCGGCTGCGTTCAAAAACACAACCCAAGTGCTTTTAAACGTCATTTTCCTTGTTATTTACCAAATATTAAACAAAAGAATAAAGTAATATTCAGCGACACTCGAGTACTGTTTTTGAATGCGCTCTTTAAAGCTTGTTGTTTAATTAAAACAATGATCGCGAATTCTCTCAGAATTTGGTATTCACATGCATATATCATGATATCGCAAATCTCGTTAACAGTCCTTTTTGAGAGTCATTTGTTTACAAATGTCATCAGCCATTTCTGTCATCAGCCATTTCTCAATATTGTGATTGTATCGGACAATACGCAATTATAAGATCGTCGTAGACGTTCCTATATACATATTAAGATCTATCGATAGCGACCTCGTTTCATCGTATCAATCTGGATTTTCGGTAATCGCTCTTATATTATCAAATAGATTCTAAATTGTTAAAAATAACTCTCATTAAGCCTGTAAGTGTTAGAAGAAAATTGATACATATCTATGTCAACAAGCGATAAAGTAAAGCTCCTTTTTTGCGTGTTGAATATATTTTTTTTAATGATAGACATACATAACATACATCGTGTAATCTCGTATCTTTTTTAATACAGAACCGCGGATCTAAATTAATCCAATCGCGGTTCAAGATTAATTTGTCTGTTTACAAGGAAGGATTGTCATTCTAAAAGTGAAATTACTTGCAATTAATTATGATTATTTATGAAAAATCACATATTTAAAGCTCTACGTGCAAATTCAAATTAATTGGAAAAAAAATTTATCAGATGGAGATTAAAAACCAGGGCCGCGCAGTTCTAATATTAAAAGATTATTTTTTTTATTTCTAATATTTTTTAATATTCTAATATATTTATCGATTTAAATTTACATATCACGAGCAAAGATTTTCAATAATAAAAAATTCTAGTTAGAATTCGACGGTTTATATGTTGCTAAAAAAATAACATTGAATACACATTTATCAGTTATGAGTTAATCTATCATTGCATATTTTTTTCGTGTATAACACAAATATTAAGAAAAATATTCATAATCTCACGACAGTGAGACACAAGTTTAGTTTGAAACAAATAACATTTATATAATAAATAAAATTTAACGATGATGTAATCTGAAGATAAAGTTATTAGAGTAGTCTAGAAAACAGATCGATAGATTAAGATTTAATATTTTTACTAAGCGAGAGATATGTGATGTTTTTCGCGTTACATTTGCGATTTGTAATATCCCGTTGCGATATCGGGAATTGAAAATTTGATTTCGTGTCGCACTAGCGATCGGAGAATAATTTTTCATGGAAAACATGATTTTACTGAAATATTAAAAAATGTAGGTAGATACAGATCTGAAAATAACTGTGTTGAACCATCAAAATAATTATATATTACTCAAACTTATTACTAAAATGTAACTTTTTGTCAAAACTTTTTGTAGCATTTCTTATCATATTTGAAGTTCGTGCGTAATTATTTTAAAAGTCAAACAAAATTATTTTTAGATGTGTATCTAGCTAAATTTTTAATTTAGTGAAAGACAGATAGTTTTTATCTTGAAAAATATGTGATCGAAATTCACGGAAAGAATGATTTTACTGAAATACTTGAAAATTTAGTTATTTACAGATTTGAAAATAATTGTTCGACCATTGAAATAGTTATGTAAGAAACTCATAATGAACAATACTGCAAAAAGATTTGATATTCTAGCAACCAGCTTGAACGTTTTTACATAACTATTTTGATAGTCTAACAAAATGATTTTTAAATCTGTATCTAGCCAAATTTTTAGCAAAAGATATTTTAGCAAAACCGCGTACTTTCTGTTTTAAAGAGAATTTTGAATTTGTTAGGTTTTATTCTCCCAGGAATACGATCATAGCAGAAAACACTGCGAAGAGCAGTTTAGAGCCTTGGGCTCGTAAAAAAAAAAAAAAAGAAGTTGAAACAACCATCAGGCGCGATACTGCGAGCAATGTTCCGCGAGATATGTACGAAATAAAAGTGCAGGTACATCGAGCAAATCAGCAGCACGTGACACATGCATGCGAATCGCCTGTCGACGTTCGCGACGTATCTGGTAGCTGCTCCGTTTTCCGATCGTTCTCCACGTACGCGACGTGCGTCGCGTATCGCGAAGTGTATCTCGCGTTACGTATCCCGGTGGGTCCGTCGAGGGACAGCCTGCCGCGAATCAATCGTCGACGTGTCGTCCGTAAATAAAAAGAAAAAGAATTACGGCAAGAAACGCATTATATACATTATAGGAATCATCAGGAGGTTAGAAACGGAGACCGCTGATAGCGAATACAACGATCTACTGATACGTCGCGACAGTCTGATAATTTCGTCGTGCGCAACGTAACACTTAAGAGTTGACTAGTCTACGTCGCGCTTCTCATTATTCGCCGTTTCTCCCGTTCCGTTTCCCGCCTACAACGCGGCGATGAATAGAACGATGAGCGCGATCGGCGGTATGCTGAATTTTATATACGACCGCCACGTGAGAGGAGCGGTGACAAGCGTAATGCCCTTCGTGCATCGCAGGTAAAAAAAAAAAAAAGACAGCGCGCGGCAATCCACGGCTGCGACGGCGGCGACAAGTCGCGAATTATATGCCGCATTACGTATTGTTGACTTTTGTTTGTAAACTTTTATATGTAGTTTCAAACCGTATAATTTCTGAAACTAAGAGCTATAAAATTATCTTGCTTTGCACAATTTATTCTTATAGATAGATAGATCAGTATGAATAATTATTGTTTTGATGATGTCTGAATAATAATAATTTTATCTTTAACTTACATCATTGTTGAACTTTGTTCATAAATTCTTATCTAATTGAAATCTCCAAAATTAAAAATTATAAAATGATCTCTCTCAAGTTATTTCTGGATTGATATAAAAAATTATTTTTTGATCGAAAAAAAATAGAATGCGAATCGAAAACGTTAACACATATCTCGTATAGTAGTAAAAATATTAACTACTCCAATATCTTTATTATGTAATAACATTGAACATGAAAGAAAGGCTATATTTTTATTGTTGATTCGATGACGGTTAGCTTGAGGAATTTTAGCACAGTCTAGAGCAGACCTGTCTAATTTGAGCTCCGGAGCCAAAACGCAAAGCCATCGACGCTGCAAAAAATTCCATATGAGTAAGATTTTATGGACTGTAAAGTATCGATAAGACGTCACTCACAATCAGACGGGTATTAACACTTTACAGTCTCCGAAATCTTATTCATATTGATTTTTTTTTGTCGATGGCTTTGCATTTTGGCTTCGGAGCTCAAATTGAACAGGTCTGGACTAGAGTCTAGATGCATATTCTGTAAAATGTTGTTATTAGACAATGCAATGATTCTTTGTAGATCTAGATAATATCTTGAATTTGATTTAATAGAATCTAAGGACAAGTTAACATACGATAAATAAAACACTATAATACTTTTAATTAATTAATATTGTGTTACTAAAGCGATCCATATCAAAGATCAAAACATTTAAAACATATAACATATTGACTTTTTTTAGCGTTTAATATGTAACGTTGGCTTGAATAGCCTTTTATTTTAATATCAATTTGAATCCAATTTTATATTCAGCTTATTTTATCGTTAAATTTTATTTATAAATTTTTTTCTAATTTTAAAATCTCTAAAATTAAGAGTTGTAAAAATACTTTTGCAATTTATTTTTGAATTGATATGAAAAATTATTCTTTAATCGAAAAAATCATGAATTTAACGGAAATTAAAATGTTTATATATATTTTTCGCGTAAATGTAAAAATATTTATTTTAATTCATGACGTCGATCTGTTTTTAAAATCTGTTTTGAAATGTTCTAATTCAATAAATTCATCTTTAGTTTATACGTATTATTGTTGAATTTTCTTTACAAACTCTCTTTAAATTTAAAATTAAAATGTATAAAGCTAAAGAGTTTTTAAATCATCTCTCTTTTTAATAAACTTCTACAATTTATTCTTGAATTGGTATGAAGAATTATTTTATAGTCGAAAAAATACGCGAATCAGAAATACCACACGTACCTATATTGCATAGCAAAAATGTTAAATTTTAATCTATGATGTCAATCTATTTTTTAAATTGTTCCATTAAATTTATTGACAGTTTCTTTTTTACGTTGTAATTGAATTTTGTTTACAAACTGTTTTAATTTTAAATTAAAATCTTTAAAAATAAGATCTCAAAATTATCTCCTCTCGTACAATTATTTTTTAGTGGAAAAAAATCGTGAATACAACGCATATAAAAAACCTTACATATGTATAGTTCGTATAGGAACAAAAAAATTAAATTTTAATCCATGATATTGATCCGTATTTGGATCACTCCAATAATTTTATCTTTAACATGCATTATTATTAAATTTTTAATAAATTAATAAAAAAGAGATAAGGACTTGTCATATAAAAATAAACAAAATGATGACAAAGGCGATATAAGTGTCAAAAAGAATTTTCGTTCAACAATAAAACATATAATCAGTCAATATTTCCAATAAAATTAATTTAAACATTACTTAACACTAAATCGCCTACAAACAATTAACTATGATAATAAAATTAAAATAAAAATAAGTATTAATAAATATAAAAAACGTTACAAGTTTCGGCTCTCGGATTGAGCCCTCTTCAGACATTAAAAATCATCCGTATTTGGATCACTCCAATAATTTTATCTTTAACATGCATTATTATTAAATTTTTAATAAATTAATAAAAAAGAGATAAGGACTTGTCATATAAAAATAAACAAAATGATGACAAAGGCGATATAAGTGTCAAAAAGAATTTTCGTTCAACAATAAAACATATAATCAGTCAATATTTCCAATAAAATTAATTTAAACATTACTTAACACTAAATCGCCTACAAACAATTAACTATGATAATAAAATTAAAATAAAAATAAGTATTAATAAATATAAAAAACGTTACAAGTTTCGGCTCTCGGATTGAGCCCTCTTCAGGCATTAAAAATCGGCGGATAAAATTAATCGTTAAAAAATCGTTCGTGCAGTTTCCATTTGATCGCGTGGGTCTTCACAGAAAAAACGACATTAGTTACATACGATTGAAAAGTCGTATGTATAACAATATCTCTGAAAACGATGGTAAAAAACTTCTTTATAAATGTTAAACAAATTATGTCAAAATTTCGAAAAGAAAACTCACCAAGAAAATCAAACAAATTAAATCAGCAATAATGTTATTTCGGTGTGTAGGCAGGGTTACAGTAATAATTTTATTGGAAATATTGACTGATTATATGTTTTATATTGTTACGAAAATTCTTTTTGACTCTTATATCGCCCTTGTCATCATTTTGTTTAAATTTTTAATATAAATTCTCATTTAATTAAAAAAAAATCTCATATCTTTATGCAACGATAATATTACGAATTTTTTTTTACATTTTATACAGAAAGGATGTGCAATAATAATACACAGTGTGACAATAAAGTTCGATGAAAGTTCTCATAAATACATGCAGTAAATTATGATGTCGTACTTGTTGTAAATTGCTATATCTAGAAACATATTCCAACAACATGCTGCGCGTCTGCTTTTAACGAATGCACAGCTATATGCAAACGCAGACAAGTTACGAAGAATAACACATTTATTGAATGAAAATGGAGCAAAGAGTTAACATTAAGTTCTGTTACTAATTGAGTAAAACTGCGTCGGAGATGCATGGAATGTTACAACAGATTTACGGGAATGACGCAGTAACGCAAACTTGGCAGAAACCCTGATACCTTTCGACGTGTACGACAGCTGATAGCAAATAATCCTCGACTGATTAATTGCAGACGAACTGCATTTTAATCGATTCGCATTATCTTATATAAAATTTCTGTTAAGGATTGTCCAGTGTAGGGCTCGTCCTTTGACCATTCTTTTCTTGATGGAAACGTGCAAACTAATTCTACACACATTTACGCGTTACTACCTCATTCCCTCGATCATTCCCGTTGCAACATTCCGTGCGTCTCCGACGCTCAATTACCCAATTTGTAACTTAATGTTGACTTTGTTTTATTTCCTTTTGATGATGCGTGGTTCTTCGTAATTTGTCTGCATTTGCATGTAACTGTGCGTTTATTTTACAGTTTCAATCAAAAATTTCGATTGTTTGCTTGTAATATTTAAGTTGTGATAAATAAGTTAATAATAAATGTTAACTTTAGGACGAATTTTTTGAAGCTTGCTTCATCGCTGAACAATGATGTAATTGATGTTTACATCGTTTCTCTCTTTGCAGAGTGGACGATCTGTACAGGTTTATTCATGCGTGGGTGCCGAGTCTGTACGGCGAGCTGGATGAGAACTACTGGCGAGAACGCGGCTACATCCTGTCCGATACCGACACTGACCTATCGCCGGAACTGTCACCCCACGAGAGTGGCGAAGGCGCGGATTCCACGGAGGAGAGCAAAGCTGGACAAGGTGACGACATTAGCGAGTTGACAAGGGAATCCTGGGAGGTAAGTAACGTAGCTGTCAATGCGCGACGGGATGTCACTGAGTGTCCCGTTGCACTTTTCTTACATCTAAGTACAGACTGTGTTACAAAGTTGCTACTAAAGATTGAAGAGCCTTGAAACTTTTATATTTGACGAAGTGGAATAAGAGCTTTTACTTTGCCGATCAACTTCAAATTTTATTCGTCATTTATAAGTCTGCAATTATTTAAAATCTCTATTTCAACAGAAATTCGAGTCGTGCGTCAATTTCGTAAATATTTCACGCGGAAAGTAGAGTTGACCGTCACGATCTTCATTTAACATTCTTGCAGAGAAATTGACTTTTAGATTTGATGCGATAAAATTACTGATTCAAATTTTGCAATATCGCATAATTCGCTGAAGGAAAAGAGATTACTATATTTGATATATTTTTCAAAGCGATCTCTTTTTTTATGACTTTTGCGAACATTTATAATTTCGCAATAGCTGATAACCCGATCCTCGTGTCGACTGACTATGGAATAGTGCCGAGATACGTTAAATGTTTCGCAAAATTGCGAGCCTGTAATCCATCGTTATCGATAATAACATCAAAGGCCACTCTATTCCGACATTTGTTATCACAATTGTCATCAAACGTGCCGTTGATTTGTTATCACAATTGTCATCAAACGTGCGTTGATTTTCGACGCGAGGATCGCGCGAAATTGGTGTATCTCAATGATGCCGCGATCGAAGATATTTGCTAAACACGGCCGATTCTATTGGCCGACAGCTGATCAAGGCCCCCTACGTAAAGCTGTACAGCATCCTGAAGACTTCGAGTACATCGGCCGATTCTGAGCAGATCCAGGATTCGGAGGTACCGATCACTCCGCCCACCTCCGCGGTGATCGATGATATCTATCATTAGACACCCTAATTGCTCGATGTTGAACAATGCACCTTTTAGATAACACTGCCGCACCCTAGACAACCTTGTTAGCTCTCGGGTGCACTCGACGTTGTCACGCGATGTTGCGGCCGTGCCTATTGGTTTGATGTCCTTTTTCTTTCTTTTTTTTTTTTAGCTGACTTTTTCAGCTCGCTTTGTGCCCGCTTCGATTGTTCATGTCGATACATTCGATTACCAATACAACTGAGGACCCTGTTCTAAAATCCTTAACATTATTATCATTGAAAGATTGTTGTTAGTAAGGAACTTATTCTGTAACAAAAGAATAGTGATAAAATTGTCTTGAGCTCAACAACAGTTAGGAAGATAATGAGTTAGGACAATTTTATCGGTTTTTCTTTGTTATAGAATAAGTATATTAACAATAATCGTTCAATAATAATAATATTGTTAAGGAATAGAATACGTTCCTTAGTAATCCGTTAATTTTTATAATACGAGATGAAGTCTATAAAGAATTCTTTACGATCTTGTTGTTCACACTCTTGCTGTCTCATTCACCTTGCGGTAATCTACAACAATGATGTATCAATCAATATACCAGAAACGTCTTTTAGTAATGATTTAACTCGTTCTTGTTAGTATTTGGATCGTATTTCAGCTAGGTTTATCTTCCGATTCTTATTTCGACGAATCTCACATTACTCGCCGAAAACAGACTGCATGCACCTATACCTCCTGGTTATAGAATATATTCTCAACTAGAATCTAGATGAATGTGCAGCATGCACTTGTTCAAACTCTCCAACTCGCGCATGCGTTATGTTTTTATCGTATCTCATCATTTTCTCTCTCTCTATATATACATATATTTATATACCTCATCATACGTTTCAACAGTTTTCGTTTACACAGATTTCTATCACCCTGTGAGCGATTCGAAATACTTGCAGAACACACTTTCCATATTTAGTCGATTCTTACGATGCTTTATGCAAATAGATACTGCATCGATAAAGATTATCGATTCCAAGGCAAAATGGTAATTGTGATGGACAGCATCGTGTTGTGTCGTGAGTGCGTATACGAAGTAAAGAAACGCAATATAGTTAGCTAGAGCATAAAAGTCTCTCTCATTCTCTTGACTGTTCATATTCTCTTAAAGAAAATATCTAACGGTAATAGAATCTTTCTTTATCGTTAAAAAGCATTTAATAACGCTTCCTTGAAGAAAGCGTGGAAGGACGGACGACCAGTTTCTGACTTGTTTACGGAAGAATGAGGTTTGGACGTTCACATGCGTAATAAATGCTGCGTATACCTTGCGTGATGTAAGCGTGCAATAATGTAAGCCAACTTGTGTCAAGAGTCAAACTCTATGAACTAGTCGCCGCTTGCATAATATCGATGCATTATTGATAAGAATTGACACAGTCGGCGTAAATTGACACAGATGTGTAGTAGATAACTTTTCTTAGGAAAATAGGCTTGTCTCTCGTGCACTCGATTATTTGTAAGAAAATTTTGTTTCTCTTGAAAGTGTTACGTTAAATTATAAACATTTTGTTTCTTGGTTTTTAAAGTTTCATTTTATAAAATAATAATTTATTAATAGATTTTTGCATCATATTGTGAAATGTAGGTAACAATAATGATTTTATTGAGATAAGAAATTCGGTAGCCAAAGGAAGATATGGCAAATACTTGTCGTAATCATATATCGATTCCAGATAATAAAAATCAATTTAATGTTTTCTTCTGTTGTAAATTCGAAGAATATTCTCCCTATTTACTTGTTTACTTTACTCTCTTTATGTAACAAAATTACGCATAAATATATTTATAACCATATACGTGTAATAAAAAATTATATTAAAAAATTTATTGAGACTAACATATTCAATAAAATAGCATAAAAAATTGGTACAATAAAGTTTATAAATCCTCGAATTGTTGTTCATGTAAAAGTAAACTCAATTTTGTGGAAAATTATAACGAATAACTAATTTTAAAAAATCAATTATTAACAAAAGCATATAAACCATAAATCCATTTGCGACTAGAACATTTTACTGTCCTCAAACATTCCTGACCGTTCAAAAATAAACGATAAAATGCCAAACTTCAGGCATTTTTTCACTTATTTTTGGACACTTGCGTGATATTTATCGTAAAGCCAGACATATTTGACGCTTAAAAATGTGTTGAGTCAGATTTCGCTTAACTCTACTCTTAACAAAGTAATGGTATATATGCCGAAAACTTTTTAAAGAAATACACACATTGAAAGTTATATTAATTTTATCGGTATACACTAGTGGATGCTTGTAGGATAATTAAAGATGAGAATAATTATTTTCAAGTTACTTCCAGAGTTTAGTTCTGGAACTAATTAAAAATAAGTTTACAATTAGGTAAAGGTAAAGATAAGTATAAAATAGATGAGTATAAAATAGATGATAAAAGATGAATAGAGGGCTTAATTAAATTAAAAAAAGTACACTCAAACAACTGTAAATGACTATTGAAAAATAACTTAGAAGCTATAAAATAAGATGTTTTTCAAGATTACGTTTTTTCACCCGACGCAGAATTTTGAAAGATTGAACATAATTTATGCAATTGTTTTGTCAATCTTGCCCAAATTAACGTAGACCTGAGTCCACGGAAGTGGTTCACGATAGTATAAGGAGATTGAAGAGATTTTTAGAACAAGTAGCACGTGCTGCGCAAATGAGGATGCGCAGACGTGAGGAAAGCATCTGCCGAAGTATACGTCACTCGTTTTCTACTCCCCTCCTCTCGTTCTTCATCACTTGTATGAATGTATTAGATTTACTCCGAAAGCTCCAGTACGGCTTCAGTTCTCGTAAAGTGAAGTTCTCTCACTCAAATGACTCGCCAGTATAAATAAAAAAAGACTAAATAACATAACTAGTATGCAATAAGGCCAAGTAACATTGAATATCTCAACATTGTTTTGATTAAACTAGTTAACTCATCAGAATATCAAATAGGAATATTGACGTCAATAAGTTCTTGTGATTTGTCAAAGAAATTCGTCATTAGAAAAGAAGAATTAAGTTACGTTTATTTGTAGTCCGACTTGCTTCTTAAAAAAAAGAAAGCTTTGTGTTCCTTGAAAAAATACAATTCGAATGTAAGGCATAATGTAAACGACTTTCACACGATTTTCTATCTGTGAACGAAGGAAAGAAGGATTGAAATTCAGGAAGAAGGTGTTGACCACGAATTTTAGTGTTCATTGAAAGTAACGCGAGTGATCCAGGATGCCGAAGTCAAAGATGCCAAATCCAATCGTCAAGATCACGAAATTCTTGAAACAGAAAACGAAGGTAAAAGTCAGAGTTGAGGCGAATGTACTCACGTCTTTTAATCACGCTTACCTCTCTACACGACACAAATGTCTCCAATTATAGAATTGTCAGGAATGTTAGTTTAGAAATCAATTAGAACTACGCAATGCATAAAGAAAATTTTGCCTTGAATGCCTGACTATATAAAATGTTTTTATTCATGAATATTTCACTAAATGTCATAAAATCTCATAACTCGAGATTAATGACGTAAAAATTTCCATATCGGGATTACACTTCTTTAAGTATAAAAACTTTTAAATACATGCTTATTCGGTGGATACTTAACAAAATTGTGATAATAATCACTTTTGTAATTATGTAATGTTGTATAATTATGTATTATGTTCACTACGCTGGAAAAAATGATATTATTTCAACGAAATTTATTTATTTAAATATTATTTTAATCGAAAACAATCCTGTTGATTTAACAAGAATATTGATAAAACAAAATTTTATTAAAACAAGAGTACGACGCATTTATTTCATTAATGGTGTTATTGAATTAACAAAATTATTTTCACTTAAAATAATGCTGTTGAAATATCATTTTTTTCGATGTACAAAAATCTAGTCGCATTAATTGCAATTTTGAAGATGGATTGAAGATGGACAAATCAAAATTTTTTTTGTTAAATTTATTATAATTTTAATTATGATAACCAAACTTTTAATTGATATAATCAGAATCTTCTGATTCGTTTCTTTTTAACCAGAAAATTTTCAGATATAATTATATTTATAGTATTGTTTGATATATGACTCATGATATGTCTTAAAATTAGTCGTATTAGTCTTGGTCACTGATATTATTTTTGTTTACTATGTAGCGGATACACTTACTGACTCAACACGTTAATTTATTCATCTATAAACGTTCCACTCAAAGTCTGTCAAGATGAACCATTATTTACGTACGATACTTCGACGTAATATTTACAGCGGAAACGACTTTAAAAATTCACGCATATACACGAAAGCTATGCATTCAATTGCGATCTATTTCATATAATTTACACGTTAATGACTCGAGAAGAGCGGCGCTTTGCAGGATGCATATTTAACAACCAGTCTTTGGTTCGAGCCTAAGTTCACCTTTCACCGAACCGTTACTGCAAAATGCGCCATTTAGAACTGGTTGGCTTTGAATTGTTGTAATATCAATTGATTAATAATGCGCATTGTCGGTTATCGTAGCATAGCAACTTGCATTTGAAACAGTATAGAGTTTAGAGATAAAAAAACTTTTCAAAGGGCAATTGAGAATCAGCACTTTCTCGAAGGAAAGGGAAATAAGATTTTATATCTTGTTCCTCTTGAGATTTATTCAAACAATAGTTTGTTCGAATATTGCTTTGGGAATATTTGGGAATTTTATGGTGAAAACGAATTTCAAATAGTGGATATACAGCTACATCACAAATTAGACATATAAAGTAATGCGATCATTAAATGTAATAAATTTATTTTAAAAGAAAAAAATTTTTTAGATAAATAAAATTAATGTCTTGTTGTTTTAATCGTCTCTGCAGATTGCATTTTTTTCAACATAAACTTTTGTTATAACAGTAAAAATGTACGAAATTT